TTTTGTTGTAAATGCAATCAAGTGTTGTCTGACTCCTTTAAAATGATCTGCTCGTTCTTAAATTCTGTTACTTATTTCTTAAAAGGAACATTTAAAGACAGAAATATGGGGCAACTTTCTGACTTTATAAAGGTGCATGCCGCTAGGCTGCTATATGCAGCCTTGATTTATTTATTTACTCCCTCCAACCCCGTTCCCCCTCACTCAGCTACCCCCTCATCACCTGGTCTCCCACACGTGCCCCACCACTGCTCTGACCTCCACTCCCACCCCACCCTACATTCCTCATACTGAAGCTCCCCCAAACTCCACACCTTTGACCTTACTACATCGAGTAAGTCTCCAAGATCCTATCTGAACCCCTCCTCACCACCTGCCCCCTCGACCCTATCCCCTCACAATTCCTACGACCTCCCTCCCCCTCCATCCTACGCTCCCTCACCCACATATTTAATCTCTCCCTCTCCTCCGGCACTTTCCCCTCCCCACTGAAGCATGCACACATCACCCCCATACTTAAAAAGCCCTCCCTTGACCCCAATGACCCGAACAACCTCAGACCCACTCCCTGCTCCCAGGAACATCTAAACTCCTCGAGCGCCTCGTTACACCCGCTATGCTCTCACAGAGCTCAACGACAACAACCTCCTCGATCCCCTACAGTCTGGCTTCCATCCCCTACACCCACCGAAACCGCCTTACTCAAACTCTCCAACGACCTTCTAACCTTAAAAAAGCTAATGGCCACTATTCAGTGCTCCTACTGGTTGACCTCTCTGCGGCCTTCGACACAGTTGACCACGCCCTCCTCCTCAAAATACTACACTCCCTCGGCCTCAGAGATTCTGCTCTCTCCTGAAGCTCAAAGGGTACCTGTCACAACGCTCTTTCAGCGTTACCTATAATGCTATCACCTCCCCACGGTCACTCCCCCTCTCTGTTGGGGTCCCTCAAGGCTTAGTCACTTGGGCCCCTTCTCTTCTCCATCTACACACCATCCTCCCTCGGCAACTCGTACAAATCTCACGGCAACTACACCTCATGCCGACGACACACAAGTCTATCTCTCAACCCCCCACCTCACCCCCTCGGTCTCTGCCCAAATCACACACCTGCTGAGCGACATATCAGATTGGATTCGCTCCATTTCCTTAAGACTGCATCTCTCCAAAACCGAGCTCCTTGTCTTCCCCCCAGCCCGAACCCCACCCCCCATTGACTTCTACATCACATCCAACAACGCCAATATCAAACCCGCTCTGCAGGCCAGAGTACCTGGTGTCATTCAGGACTCCAACCTATCCTTCAGCCCAAGTCCAATCTTTAACAAACACTATGCAGACTGGACTGCAACATCGCCAAAATCCGCACAGTTCCTAACCCAGACACTACTAAACAGCTCATCCCTCCCTCATCATATCACGACTCGACTACTGCAACTCCCTCCTCACTGGCCTGCTCGCCGCTGGCTATCCCCGCTTCAGTCCATCCTGAATACGGCTGCCAAAATTCACCTTTCCAACCGCTCCGTTTCCGCCACCCCCCCTCTGCCAATCCCTCCACTGGCTTCCGATTGCGCAACGGATCAAATTTAAAATCCTAGACACTGACGTACAAAGCAGTCCACCATATGCCCCAAACATCACTGTAATATCCAAGTACCGCCCAGCACGCACACTCCGCTCCTCACAAGACCTCCTTCTCTCTAGTTCCCTGGTCTCCTTGACCTCCCATGCCCGCCTCCAGGACTTCTCCAGGGTGTCACCCATCCTCTGGAACTCCCTCAACCCATCAGATTATCACCTAGAATCTCCTTTAGGCGCACCCTGAAAACCCATCTCTTCAGGGAAGCCTACCTCACCCCCTGCTAACTTGCTGACCTCCTCCACTCTTCCTACCACTCCATCCTCCACAGCTATCTCCTCCTGTACCACCATCCCCTCCCTCCTAGATTGTAAGCCGAAAGAGCAGGGTCGATCCCCTCATGTTTTGCATTGTATTGGTATTGTTCTGTCACATGTTCTGTCCCCCCTTTGTAATGTACAGCGCTGAGTGAACTATTGGCGCTTTATAAATACTGCAAATAATAATGTTAATAATTGTATTATTATGTTCTGAAACTCAGACTGTGCATTCATTCTATTGGTTGTGACCACAGATGACGTTCAGAAATGCACAGTTTTTAGTAAATGCAAAACTCCACTAATCCCAAGGGGTTCACCTTTTTTCTTGCCACTGTATATAGCAGTTTTGTGATTTCTATCAGTGTCCAGCAGAGCGCTGGTTAAAGCTTGTCTCTGACTGTCCTTTGAGGCTGCATAACCCCTCACCTTCTGTCTGGACCTGTGCTGATCACATGCACCCTCCCAAAGAAGAAAAAACAACTCTCTAGCAATACACACTAAACTGAGCATGTGCAGAGAGACTCCTAGAGCTCAGCAGATGGATTGATGACAGTGAAAGAAGGGGAGGATCAGAGAAGACAGGATCAAACCGCCTTTTTACACAATGGAGGATTAACCCCTTAGGTTCCATAGTGAGTATAACGAGCATACTTTACTGCATATACAGGCTGATTTTACTGTGGTTGGTTTACTAACACTTTAAAGTGACACTAAATCTTTGTTTTTTTTTAAAATAACACACATGGTATACTTACCTGCTGTGTTCAGTGATTTTACACAGAGCAGTCCCGATCCTCTTCTTTCAGGTCCCTGCCGACACTCCTCCCCCTCAAGCAGTTTCCCATGGGAAAGTCGCTGTCCCTGGGGGCACCAGTGTGTGCTTGTCTCTGAGCTGCTGCTCTATGCGTGCTTAAACACAGAGCCATGGCTCGGCCCCCGCCCGCCCCTCCCTCTTTCTCATCATTGGCTCACTGGCTGTGATTAAGAGCAGCAGGAGTCTCAGCCAATGAGGAAGAAGAGTCCCCAGACAGCAGAGGCTATCGGGAAGTTTGCTGGATTGGAGGGAGCTCAGGTAAGGGCTGGGGGGCCACTGCACACAAAAGGTCATTTACCTTCATGCTTAGAATACATGAAGGTAAAAAACCTTGAGCCTTTAGAACCACTTTAACCTCTTGGGGACGGCCGCATGCAAATGTGCAACCTCCCGTCGTCTGGGCCTTGACACCGAGCGGCCGCACATTTGCGTGCAATTAAGAAAAACATATGTGCTGAGAGTGCATGCCCTGCGCGCTCCCAGCACACATGTCTGGTACTCACGGAAAGGTCCCAATCTCCTCTTGCGATCGGGACCTTTCCCGATCATGTGACCACTGTGACAGCTAATCACGGCGGTCACATGACCCTAAAACCTTGCCCCGCCTCCCGGCTTCTAAAACTCTTAAAGAGCTGGGAAGCGCCGGCGCCAAGGGGTTAAAACTGCTGGCCATGGATTCTAAACTGCACGGATGGAGAAATCTCCCCTGCTGCCTATTGTATTCTGACAGCCAGCACCCGCAGCTGTCAGAATAACCAAGCAGTGGCTGTGGGGGTGGGGTGGCATATCCTTGCTGACTACTCAGTTGTGGGAAGGATCTACTCGCCCTGCATGTGGGGGCACTTTTTGCATGTGTGCTTGTTTGTCAATGCCCGGGACCACCTTCATGTGCAAGTAACATTATGCCAGTACCCTGACTGAGCATGTGCAATATCTAAATGTACAGAGTCTCTCTGCAAAGCATACTGTCCTGTGTTACTACACACCTTATCTCCATGACTGTTGAATTTAGGAGGTACACCAGTGAGCCTATGCCTTCTCCCCCTGTCACCTGATGGAATGGGGTCCCTCAGTGCACCTAGCGTGGACCTCATGCATGCACCATTCCATTTGGACAGACTGGGGGTCTCTGTAACCTGGGTTTGGTTCCAGAACTTTTGGGGAACTGACCGTTGGGGAGGGAGTCAAAGCACTGACCCCCCCCCCCCCAAACACCCCCCCCCCCCCCGGTATTGGAGGACCTGTCACCACGCCAGGTACCATGCTTCATGACCGGCTGCTGTTCACCTTCCAGCAGTCCAGAAGTACCTTCTTCTCTCATAGCTTCTGCCGCGTTAACCCTTTGTAGTAGTCTTGCTTTTGTACCCCATGTGCTTTACACGCCCTGTTGTTTTATACACCAGAAACCATCATACACCCCTTTCATTGACTTCAGACCAGGTTTGAAACAGGGCTCATGTACACTGCAGCTCCTAAACTGACGTTCAGGAGCTGTTCAGCGTTTTTTTCAGCAGCCCCTGAACTCCCCCTAATGTTTTCCTATGTGTCCATGTACACATCGTCATTTATAGGCAGTTGAGTTTTACAGTAGTTTTTTTTGAACGCACAAAACTTGCATTTAGGAGTAGATTTTACCGGCGTTTCAAACACGGTTGACCGTGTTTAGAAGCGTTTTTGTCCAGAGCCTTTTTTAATCAGAAATGCATGCAAAGTGTTTTCCATGTATTCAAATGGACCCGGTACACCAGCGCAGTCAGTTCCAGGTTTTGCATGAAGGAAAAAATGGTAGAACGTGCTGCATTATGCTCAGATGGGATCCATAGTGAATACAACCTGAAAAGACAGGTCATCTCAACAAATACTGCTCTCTCTGCTTCTGCTCTCTCTATTTCTCTCAAAATGTCTGAAATAGTAAATTTAGTACTATCTTTCAGTGCATTCTGAGCATTTGGGAAGGTCTCCTGAGGTTATCTTTTAAAAACGCTTCTAAATGCAAACGCACATAAACGCGGTATGCAAACATGGCTAAACTGACGTTTTTTTAACCACAAGCCTACAGGGCACTTATACCCCCTTCCTGTCCAGGCCAATTTCCATCTTTCAGCGCTGTTGCACTTTGACAATTGTGCGGTCATGCAGCACTGTACCCATATGAAATTTTTATCTTTTTTTGTGACAGAGCTTTCTTTTGGTGGTATTTAATCACCTCTGGGTTTTTATTTTTTCCTAAACCAAAAACCACTGAAAATTTTGAAAAAAAAAAAGTTTTTTCTTAGTTTTTGTTTTAAAATTTTGTAAATAAGTGATTTTTCTCCTTCACTGATGTGCGCTAATGAGGCTGCAGTGATGGGCACTGATAGGCTGCACTGATGAGGGGGCACTGGTAGGTGGCACTGATGAGCATTGACAGGCATCACTGATGGGCACTGTTAGGCGGCACTGACAGGCACTGTTAGGCGGCTGATGTTAGGCGGCACTGATAGGTGGCATGATTGGCAGCACTGATAGGTGGCACTGATTGGCATTGATATTGGCACTGACTGGCACTGATGGGTGACACTGAAAGGCAGCTCAGATGGGCACTGATATTTGGCATTGATGTGCATTGGTAGGCACTGATGGGCACTGACACGGGGCACTGACTGACAGGTGGCACTGCTGGGGCTACACTGATCATCAGGGCACACTGATCATCAGTGCCCTGATGATCAGTGTACATGTCCCCTCTGCGGAAAGCAGATTACCAGCTCTCCTCTCGAGCTGTCAGCGTGACAGCTCGAGAGGAGAGAAATGTAGATAACCGGCATTTCCCTGTTTACATGTGATCAGCTGTGATTGGACACAGCTGATCACATGACCGAGCCGATATCTTCAGCTCTTTCCGTGATCGGTGATCCGTTGTGTCCGAGGGACGCAGCGCACTGCCTATCGCCGCATGCCCCCGGAGAGAACCACCTTGCGTCTGTCATATTACTATATGGCGGGCGGGAGGCGGTTAAACTACATTTTCCAGCAGTCAGTTTCCATCGTTCAGAAGAGTTTTCCAAACCTCCCGTGTACATGAGTCCTTAACAGCTTTATTGAACACAGTTCAACAGCACAGCACACATGGAACAGAATCCAACCATAACTAACTAATGCAAGCTGCCAGGTTCATACCTTCCAGGGAAGCAAATTTCATGCAGTAAAAGTGCAGTAATGGTAGGTTCCTAGTCCATGGAGAATCCCAGCAGGGTACCCAGAAGGGGGTCATGTAGTTTATAGGCTTACTTTACATGTTGGAGTAGTCCTTCCTCTGAAATCCTATGTGGAAGAGAGAGAGAGCTAGGGGCCCTCCCCATGTATTTATGTGGAAGCAGGGGGCAGGACCCAGAAAGCCCGGGAAAAGAGTCTAAACACAGTTAACCCCTTCCCATTCTGGGCAGCCTGTAAAAGCTTGCATAACTACACCGTGCAAAGAATACAACAGCAGAAATTCATACAATGACACCCCACAAGCACCTGCTTACAGTGATTGTATCTGAATGACTGACAGTTTGGCAATGAGCTCTTTTTATTTACAGATTGAAGGTAGTCAGGCTGGAGGGTGCTGATATGGTCATCCATAGCTTGAATTTTTTGCGCCTTGGTACGAGCTGGACCATGTACAAAATGCTGTACATGAAATTCTTCTTTACCAACTTGCCCTCCAGGGGATTTACCCCCCTTCCTGACCAGGCCATTATTTGTGATACAGCGCTGCGTTACTTTGACAGTTGCGCGGTTGTGCAATGCTGCACCCAAATTAAATTTAAGTCCTTTTTTCCCACAAATAGAGCTTTCTTTCAGTGGTATTTGATCGCCTCTGCATCTTTTATTTTTTGCGCTATAAACAAAAAAAGACCGACAATTTTGGAAAAAAGACCCCAATACTTTTGACTTTTGGCTACAAAACATATCCAGTAAAAAAAATAAAATAAAAAAAATCCCAATACATGTTTTTTTTTGTTTTATTTTTTTTTTAATATACTACTAATGGTGGTGATCAGTGACTTATAGCGGGACTGCGGCGAGCATTATGACACTAGGTAAGAACAGACTAACTCCCACTCCCACTAACTCGCACGCTGCTTTGTATTGCTTTGCTATGCAGAGCAATACAAAGCAGCGTGCTGGAGCTGATAAGGGGAGAGATCTGTATCGTGTACAGACCTCTTCGCCGTCAGTGTTCCTTGGCGATCACCGGGTGCAGGCAGGGAATCTCCGGCTGGGACCCAGCGAGCAACAACTGAAGCTGCCAGTGGCAGCTCAGGTAGGGTGCACGTGCGACCCCTACCTGGACATACAAAATCATATATATATATATATATATATATATATATATATATATATATATATATATATATATATATATATATGTGTGTGTGTGTGATTTTGCGCAGCACTACTGCCCTGTAGCAGTAGTTCTGCTATAGGGCGGTTGGGAAGTGGTTAATTTATTGCAGCTGAAAGTGGTTGTACAGGCTGAAGGTTTTTTTACCTTCATGCATTTAGTTTTGGATAGAGTGGAGATGGATTTTGCCTGTAGCTCTAATTTAACATTATTTAGATGAGTTGCAATTTCTTGGTTTTCTCTTCAGGTTTTTCCACTTATGCTTGCGAATAACACACTTCTTGTCGCTGGGTGGCTACATTTACTTCTACACTCTGTGAAGGAAGCCATGGCTATCACACATATTGGACTTCAAACATGTCTGGCTTAGTCCATCTCCATTGCATGGGTGCTGATAGGATTTGCAGTTTACAGAAGAATGATTGGCCTGTTTGCGATTTCTGTTGAGCTCACACACACACACTGCACTTATGACAAGATCAACAAGCATTTTCTGTACTTTCTAAAAATGTTCTGAGCCTGAGAAAAGAAAACTATGTGGCCATCACATCTAAGGACTGTTAAGCTGAAATATATTACATTTTAATATATTACATTTTAATTTTTGTTTAGTTTATACTTTTTTTTAACTTTTACCTTTCTGATCTTTGGTTATCCCACTCCCAAAAAGTGTGACTCCAAGGGCTGCTCCAATTTTCGAACAAGTGCCCTCATCCCCCACACTTGCTAGATTTTCCTTAAAGCAGAGCTCCACTCAAAAGGGGAAGTTCCGCTTTAAAGACTGGTCCCCTGCTCCCCATTAAGGATTGGCACCTTTTGGGGAGCAAGTACCCAAAATTGACAGGTACCCATTGTCCTCTCCCCCCCCCCCCCCTCCCATAGTCTTCTGGGACACGTGACAGGTCTCGGAAAACAACGGGGCCATTCAGGAAGCGCATGCGCAGTGGGCACCCGGCTGTGAAGCCGGAAGCTATCTGTCACAGTCGGGTGCCCACCGGTGCCTGGAACACCAGACGGCTGGTGAAATGGGCTGCGGAGAGGACACCGCGGGATCGTGGGACAAGTAAGTGGCTGTTTTTTTTTTTTTTTTTTTTTTTATTAAGTCTCCATCTACAGTTTTTGTAGCTGCTGACTTTTATTTTTTCACAGGAGACTGGAACTCCGCTTTAAGATTGTACAACTACTTCTGGCACCAACCAGATGTTCATGCCAGCTTCTGACAGTGCCATGACACTGGTGACTGTATCACATGGAAAAATGTCATGAATTTTGAAGCAGCACCGTAGCTAAATGGTTAGCACTTCCGCCTGATAGCACGAGGGTTGTTGGTTTGAATCCCAACCATAGCACCATCTGCCTGGAGTTTGCATTTTCTCCCTGTGCCTGCGTGGGTTTCCTCCGGGAACTTCAGTGTCCTCCCACACTCCAAATACATGCTGGTAGATTAATTGAATCCTATCTAAATTGGCCCTAGTATGTGTATGTATGAATGTGAGTTAGGGACCTTAGATTGTACACCCCTTGAGGGTTAGGGACTGATGTGAATGTACAATATATATGTAAAGCGCTGCGTAAATTGATGGTGCTGTACAGGTACCTGAAATAAATAAATGAATTTAAAAAGAACATCCACATTTACTTTACCTCCTACAAGAGAGTTTTTAACTGTGTCAGTCATGAAAGCTGTACAGAGCCCTACAAGTGCTGGGGGTGCCAAAACATCTAGTCAAGTTGGTACAGTCGCTGTAAGCAAGCCAAGAAGCCACTATATGAAACCATATGGGGACATGGATGCAGAATTCAATTTGTTTTTAGTCAGAAGGAAAGAATAGAAATGAATACACTTGAAATATGTTTGTATAAACGTGTCATGTGTAGCTTTAGTGAAGTTTATTCGGATGGCAGAAAAAATACATTCACAACTGCTTCTGGTTTTCCATGTTTAAAATAAAAAAAACAAAACAGTGCGTTGTGCTATCCAAAAATCGAAGGCTAGCCGCTTGATTGACATCATACACTGGAATGTTTTTATAAGCTCCCTGCAGCTGCTTCTCTTTCTCTCCTTTATAACGAAGGAAAGAACGAGTAAAAACATTTTTTGAACCAACTTTGTTACTTGCTACTTCATATTATGTACACAGTACTCTTCCTTTGTGATGGCATCATAGAGACTTCCTTGTCATGGCCACAGCAGATGGTAAAGCTGTGATGAAGAGATCACGAGTACACGAAGCATTGGGGTGATTGATAGATTTTCCAGAGGCATCCGTTCTATAATAAAAAATTGAGTGGTCTTTTTATTATTAGAAAGTTCCAATCATGTTTGTGCCTAGGCCTGGGGAGGGCATCTTGGAAGAAAGACGTAGGCAGCATGAAAGCCTTTCCTTCCCCCGTGATCAATCGTTAGGACTGTTGAATCATCTCGACTTTCTAGCAGCTCACAGGACAAGAGGCAACCATAGGAAGAAAATCCATTGCTTTTAAAGAAGAGCAATTGTTAAAAAATACATACACTATAGCACTTGGTCCCGTTCAAATCTGTCCCGTTAGCTTCTAAGCAGCGTGGTCAGGCAGGAACCTCCCCTCTCCTGGAGGAGAACCCTGCTTGAAAGGAGACATACAGGCATACCTCGGTTTACGAACGCCTTGGTTAATGTAATTTTCAATTTACGAAAGAAAATCCATTGAAAAAAAATGCCTCGGTTTACAATTTTTTTTTTTTGCAATACGAACGGAGTTATTGGTTTTCAATGCATTTACAAATTTTTTTAAATCATGTCCCTGTACAGTATTTGTGCCTTTAAAGTACTATATAAAGAGTTTTGAACAGATAAAAGACTTTTTTTTTTTTTTTTACTTTTTTCTGACCTCTGAAACGGATTATTTGTTTTTTAATGCATTCCTATGGGAAACCACATTTTCGTTTGCAAATTTTTCACAATACAAAAAGTCCCGCAGAACGCATTAAATTCATAAACCGAGGTATGCCTACATTTGTAATTGACAGTCTTAGTGTCTGGCACTAGGTGCCACTCTTGTGACCAGCATCATTCTAAAAAAAAAAAAAAAAAATCACAACTTTTGCGGCGCTTTGTGTCTATCAAAAGCTACTTTTACACATACTCTGCCCAGTTGATGGATCACGCAGTGCCTCAGTGCTGTGTGGTCTTTTGGTTTAATGAATGAGTGATCAGTGCTGTTGGGCTATGTTATCATGGCACCAGTGCTGACATATATGCAGGGCTTAAAATTTCAAGGCCTGAGCTACTAGCCAGGCCTTAGAGTTACTGGCCACCAACAAACACACACAAACAGAGACACCTGTAC